TCTTTCTTTTTTATTTGAAAATCCTTTTTTTTTTGGTCATGGACGGGCAGGCTCAGATGGGAGGAGTCGGTCACGGGACGAAGAAGAGGAAGAGCAACTGAAACGCAGACATCTTCAGGAAGAACATCTCAGCAAGGTCAAACGCGTATTAATGCTTATACATTCCTTGTGTCATTTTTTTTAGTCTAAGCAGCCATTTAAATGCATATATGTGCCAAATTATGCTGCATTACACAGTGTTATTTACACATGCTGTCTGCATTGTTTTATTACCCAAATCACTGAAATAATTATGCAAACACACCTAATTTGCATATTTGCACAGTGACTGGGGGTGTTTAGTGAATAAGGCTAATAAATGCAGGCTAATAAGCATGCTAAAGTGGAATAAATTTAACCTCTATCTGATCGTACTTTCAGTACTTTCACTCATATGACTCATATGTTAACTGCAGATCCAGTCTGGACTTGGGAAGCTCATTCTGAAGGAGGAGATGGAAAAGGAGATGAACAGAGAGAGATACATACCTTAATGTTTTTAAAAAAAAAAAAAAAAAAAAAATTAACACATTAATATTCAAAAGTTTGGCGTAAGTACAATTTAAAAAAAAAAAGAAAGAAATTAATACTATTATTCAGCAAACACCCAATAAATTAATAAATTGATCAAAAGTGAGTCAAGACATGAATAATATGCACAAAAAAAATTCTATTATAATATCTATTTCAAATAAATACTGTCAATTGAACTTTCTATTCATCAAAGAATCCTAAAAAAGTATGTTTTTATGAAAATAATCAGCAGAAAAATCTGTTTTTAACATTGATTAAATTAAGAACCATTATTAATAAGCATCAGTAATAACTGAGCAATTACATTTATTTATAAATATATTCAAATAAAAACAAATCATTTTAAATGGTAATAGTATTTCACAATATTACCATTTTTACTGCATATTTAACCAAATAAAAGCAGTCTTGGTAAGCATAAGAGACTTCTTGAGCATGTGGAATAAATTAGGCCAGTATAATGAATTAAAGTGCATCTTTAATGACTTTCTTTTTTTTTTGTCTGTGCTTCCAGCCCCAGTCTACAGAACTCTCTCAGTATAACAGTTACGGGGATGTGTGTGGAGGACAAAGAGGTACAATTCAGTACTTCTAATACTGAAAATACATCTGATAACCACCCCCACCCCCCAACCCCCCAAAAATAAGCTTTTTAATAAAATAGTAATATTTGGGAATTTGTCTCTTTCTGATTTACACAGATTTCAAGGTATGTGACTGACCCGCAGTATTTACTGAGCATGTGCATCAGCATGCACTTATGGAAGTCAAATCATGCTACATGTAACCGGAATGGCACTCATGCCCTCACTGCTATGCTTGTGTCTGAGTTTGAGCCATGGGGAAAGACAAGCGCACAGTCAAGGGTTTGATACGTTGAAAAACTCCCTCACCCCTGAGAACACATCACATGGATAGTGGCTGGATCCACTTCCCTTGCGAGAACTTGATACAGAGCAATAGCTGTTAGGAATTAGATCCAGACTATTTCCCAAGGTTCTGAATTCTTGAAAGCAGTTTTCTGCTTTCTTTTCTTATCATTTGCATCACGTATATGTGTTCTGTTCTATAGCCCACCCAAGATGCTCAAGATTCCATTACAAGAATGGACAGGGGACTGTCTATGCCTAATATGTTGGAATATAAAGCAAGTATCCCAAATATTTTCAAAAATTATGTTTCTCTTCTCTCTTCCATCTCTAAATGCTCCTCTGTTCAATAAATAATCACCCCCCCTCCCAAAACCAAGATTATTCAGTCAGGGCCGTAATTTTGGCTCATCTTCACAGGCGATGGTCAGTGGGAAGAACAAGACTAGCATAACTTGTATATCTTCCAGTGCTATGAAATGATGTCATCACATGACATACTCTGTTTTAGCAGTGCATAGTTTCGAGATCATTCAATCATTTTGAACTCCTGGTTCTCATTAAAGAGGCTTCATGGTTACATATGGTAATATTTTGTGAAAGTGGTTGATTTAGTTACCCAGAAGCCTGATTCTCTAGGGCCGAACTTAAATTCATGCGTCGGCCCTAGTTATTGGCTAGATTAAATAGATTAGAACTTAATAGGTTTTCCCAGCAATAACAACTGGCATGATTGTAGACTGTTAACTGTTCGTAGAAGTGCTAGCATTAACAGCATTATAATTCCTTCCTGTAGATACAGTTGGCAAAAACGCCTGGCCAGCTGTAGAAAAAAACAAATCCCTGTGACCATAGTTACCCATTCATTTCAGTGGGGAAAATAAATAGTAAAAATAATAATAATTATAATTTTTTTAAAAGCACATTCTGAACTCCTGAACATTTGCTAGCTAAAAGGAGACTAGACTAAGAGACGACTAGTCATCATTAATATTTATAAGAAATGTTTCCCAAAGGCAATGTGGGTTTCTGCTGGTTTACGCTGGTGTCCCAGTGTGGCCAATCTGGTGTTTATCAGGTCAGCCAATTGAAAACTTCAATAAAACCAGCCCACAATGTTGAGAGACCAGCGAAGACCATCAAACAAGCTTAATCAAAGTTTAGATTATTTTCAGCTGCATTTCAGTGAATGTGAGAAATTTTCTGACATCTGCATTTGCTCTTCACTTATTTAAAATATTCATTGTGATGTCTGTTAACGTTACTTGTTCCAAAAACACTGAAACTTTCAGTGTTTTTTGAGAATTTTATTTTCCCCCATACAAATGAATATGGTACAGGAACCAGGATTTATTCTTCTCCGTGTTAAACCACACCCCCAGTTTATTATGTGTTGCTAACTGTATCTATTTTGCACTTAAAGCATACATATATTATATTATTCTATCCAGCACTTCTTTCCCATATTGAGAAACACAAACTTTCTGGTTTGGAAATACAGTACATGCTCACACTCTCTCTCACACACAAGGCTCGCCTACTGTTTGTTCATCTGCATGCTCTGCACACCTCCTGCACACTCACTCTCTCACTTGCACCGTGTGCTGCAGTGTTGTATTTTGGCAAGAGTTGGTGTTTGTGTGCCATGTTAGAATGTAATGACCGTGCATTATTCCCTTGTCCATTTGCTTTCAGCAGTTCATTGTGTTTGGCAAATGCCTCGCATAGCATTCTCCATAACAACACAATCCCTCCTTTTGTAAAGGTGTACCCACATGAAATGCTCACTGTCACCAACAGAGGGCGTACTAAGCTCCCGAAGGATGTGGACAGGACGAGACTGGAGGTAAATGGCACCCGATAGCCTCACTGAGTGGAAATTGCATGAAAGTAAATGACTCGTTGTCCATTTATTTTGTCCATTTTGCGACTTGAAAAGTATGACTCCTTTGAATTGCGTAAATCAGAGGAAAAGACATTTGCGTTTTAAGGCTACATTCAAAATGCATTTATTGTTCTGTAAAATATAACAACAACAACAGTATTGTTGTTATTATTAAATGCTCACATATCTAAATAAAATAATAAATAATACAAATATTATTTACAATAATAATTGTTGATGTTGTTAAAATATTATTTAAATGATCAAATATAGCTAATAAAATATCACTGTTGCAATAATGCTGCTGTATAGTAAACATACGTTTTTATTAATATTATTTGTGCTGTTATCAACTAGACTACTTAGACACTTATTAAATAGTAAAATATTGCTTATAATACTTCTACTACTAGTAATTATTATTCAAATTATTATTTAAATGATAAAAGTAAATTAATATAGAAATATTATAGCAATAATACTATTGTACAGTAAAAGTGAGTATTTAATCAATGTAATTATTATTATTAGGCCTACTGTTGTTGTTGTTGTATTCAGAACAATAAATACATTTTGAATGTATTTTAAGACGCAGCAATTTTTTTATTATTATTGTTGTATAGTCATATCGAATGAGGGAAATCGAAAAAGAAGTCTCTTTTTGTTCTTAGCTGCTCACATGCCTGATGATTTATAATTCTTCAATATTTCTCTCTCCTTATTTATATCCAGCGCCACTTGGCTTCCGAGACATTCTTTGATATTTTTGGGATGGAGATCCATGAGTTTGACAGACTTCCTCTTTGGAAGCGCAACGACATGAAGAAGAAAGCCAAGCTCTTCTAACTAGCTGATTGTGCATGTTTTAATTTATCAATCACTCATATGATGTATTAGAGCGATAGTCCTAACTTTTTTTTTTTTTTTTGCATCCAATTACATGCACAAAAAAGTTTTCTTTTGCTTCCAAAAGACCACTTTTTATTTTCCCAAATCTCGATATCTTTATTTTTAAATGAGTGAGTATTCGAATAGGAATAAAATGCGGTGCGCGTGACCCCTATGATGCGAACACACGAGCGCGAGGAGCTGATGGTGTGCCTGCTCTCATTAAACCTGCCTCTAGGACCAGAGAGATTTATCCTCCTCCCTCCTGGCCCTCTTGTAAAACAGGACTGTAATTTTTTAGATGGGGAACCGGGGCTGTCAGCAGGGATCTCCCTCTAAACAGGCCGTTAAGGTGGTGGAGTTGTAGGGATCCTGGAGCCCCCTGCTGCTGCGGACCTAACGAGACCTTTGAAGTGCGTTAAAAGCGGGAAGTGAGAGCTACTGAAGATCCTCCACCTGCGGAGCCGAGCTTCTGGAAAGCATTAGAAACTGAAATCGGCGTCCTGTCCCACCAGCACTCTGCCGCCTCGTCACAATCCTAAAAAAATATCTAGGCCTACATGTAAAGTAGCAAGCATGTTCACAATATCCAAAGCCCAAAACAGCACCCGAGATAGATGGATTCTTTATCCAAAAGCCACTAGTCTGATAATCAGAAGAGGTGGTGGTGATGATTATTATTATTATCATTATTATTTCGAAGATTAAACTTCAATTATTTAAAAACAAAAAACGATTATTAAATATCGCCACTAGAGGTCAGCCGTGGGACGATATCAGACGTCGGCCCGCTCTGAAACAGCTTCCTCTGAATCAGACAATCCGTTTATTGTGACTTCCGGTTTTCTGCAATATGTAACAGCGTTTTATTTTGAATAAAGCAAGCAAAGCCTTTTAAATGACTGCCTCAGAGGTGTTTTAATACTGCCACTGTGTTGACGTGGGATTGTCGGAGCTGTAGCCATAGCATTTGTGCCAGGTGTAGACTCGATATCAGGGCTGTATCTCTGTCGTACATTTATATTGCTGCCGAATAATGCTGTTCCCATAGACACTGTCTCGGCTTGCAGATGTATTATGGGCCGCCGTTGGCTATTATTCTGAGCAGTTCCCTGTGTTACTAGCAGGGTTAATGACAGAGAACTAGGACATATTACAGTATTGTGCTTTTATAGTATCACAAAACATACGACTAACAAATGTGATTACTAGAAACAGACCTGTATGTCACTTTAAAACAGAATGAAGAGTTGGTTTTGATACCCCTACTGTGTACCTCACCTTTTTCTGTCTTTTTTGAGGGAAAGATTTGATGAAAATGGTGTATAAGCTCTGCTGAGTAATAAAACTCTGCTTCAGATAATTTTGTCTGACTTAGTTATTACTGTGTGGTGCACTTTACATGAAATACAAGCCCCTGTGACATAAGGGGGCCGTTACAAGTGGGAGGTCGGCCTGTTGAGTCACTTGGAAATCCCTGGGTGCTTTCCTTCATGTTCTCTGCCTGATAAATATACCCGGTGGAATTACCTCTTTCCCAAATCGCTCTCCTCCCATGCTCCAGAGTCAGTCGAATTCAAAACAAGCCTTGGCACTGTGTTACTCTAATGGTTCCACTCTGAATTGTAGAGGTATTTGAGCAAGAATGAGTGTTTATTGGTATTTCTGGTCACCCATACCACTGTCATCCTCCTGCACAGTAGGAATAGAAAGACACATTTATCCATGTTCGACAGACTGTGACACAGACTCATCAGTACAAAAAGATATGCATGAAAGAAAATGACTCAGGGATGTGATTTATCAGTATTTTCCAACACATAATTGGATGAATTATTATAATAATACAAATTATTATTAAATACTATTTTTACAGCACAACAGTATAACAATATTCATATTTTTTATTTGTTTGATTTTTACAATTTAAGTAATAATAATATAAAAGTTTTATTGAACAATAATTGTTTTTCTTTTTTCATGTTTATAATGTAAATAAAATAAAATAAACTATTATTTTTAATAATTGTTTTAATTTTTACAGTACAATATCATTATTGCAATAATAATGTACTGCTTTATTGGTTGGTTTAATTTTTAATTAATACAACAAAATATTTTGAATAATAACAACAATAATAATATTTATGCCTATAAAAAATAACATATTATTATTATTATATTGAATTGGGGAAATACAAGCCCCTGTGCAAAAAAGGGGCCGTTACAAGTGGGAGGATTGCCTGTTTAGTCCTGCTCTGAATTGTAGAATGGACGTATTTAAGCAAGAAACTAAGTGTTTATTGGTGTTTCTGGTCATCTGTACCACTGTCACCCTCCTGCACATTACGAACAGAAAAATACGCTTTTTTCCATGTTCAACAGACTGTGACACAGACCCACCAGAACCAAAAGATACACACACATAAAAAGATCCCATCCTGTGGAGCTCATTGCCATGCTTTATTTGATTCGCTTTTTAGGACACCAATTCAGTACTTTCACGATTTCAGATATTTATTTTTTTTCTGTGCAGACTTTTGGTTCTGGCAACTCATGCCTGGTTTGTGTTTTGACATCGTCCTCATCCATCCCGTCTCACTGCTGTATCCACTGAACATTTAGGTCTTGAATGTCAGACCTCACAAGCCCCTGTCAGTATTTCCTGAGTTCAATCTGATGAAAATGTGGCGGTAATGAGGGGCTTTGGCCTCATTTTTTGCCACACTGAATGTTCTCAACAGATCATTCTCACACCAAAAACCTGTTTTTTCTTGTATAAACTAGACCGAACCTGATCGCTCAGTGTAGGAGTGGCAGAATAATATTATTTCATGACACAACGCTCTCCTCTAGAGGATCTATAGGAGTTTGATCAGGTGCCTTGCTTTCCCTGACTGCATGAAAAGCTACACCGACTTGCCAAGGTGGGTTACTATCAACAGTCAGCAAGACAGCACAGTAGGTCAGAACTTCAAAAGAACATGGATATGAAGCTTTCAGACCAGGTATTCTATCTTCTATCCTTTTATCCGCCTGGTGGTCAGTTATTGTGTTCAGTGATGGATTGCATCTCATCGCCCCGTTGCTCTGACTGATGTACTTGGCACATCCTGAGCACCTCTTTGTGTACAAAGACTGTAATGGTGTTTTGTGAGTTTATGTCTATGTGTGTAACATGGGAAAGGTCCTTGAATCAAAAGGCCCTAGTGCTGGGATGGGGCTGAATCAGTGAACCCTGCTCTCTGACTCACAGCTGTGGAATGTCCTTTGTGCTTCAACCAGTAGCAGCCAGGAGGATCTGCCAGTGTCTGAACCCACACCATCCAGCTGATACACAGCATCCAAACAATGTTCCCACAATGCAACCCTTTCAAGCATCTGAGTGGCATTCCAGATATGAATGTGATACCTGTTAGCCTTTGAACTTGAATCTTGAAGTCTGTTCAAAAGCGTATTCCCATTGTTCCTTTTATGCTCCATGAGCATGAACAATATGATTCCCCTCATTTTTTCCTCTACAAACAAACCTTTGAGAGGCAGACCACCCTCCGTCAGGCCCAATTCCCACACACATCTCACAGACAGTTTTTCATTCACACATCCACCTCTAAAGCCACAGGATCAGCTGTGATTAGATTAACTAAGGCAGTGTTTTTATAGTGCTCCCCATACTGACTCAGTTAGTGGGGATTACCCTGTCGCGCAACAATGAGTAACCACTGTCACTCAAAAACATCCGGCCTTGAAATTAAAAATAATGCCTTAATGCACCGATTGCTTAGATTTCTTTAAAAGTCATTTAATGAAGATCACAATCTTTTAAATGAAACTGCTGTTCAAAAGTTTGGGGTTTTTGAAAGTATCTTATGCTCACCAACACTGCATTTATTTGATCAAAAATACAGTAAAAACAATAATAGTGTGAAATATTGAAATATTGTTGCAATTTAATAACTGTTTTCTAATTTAATGTATTTTAAAATGTAATTTATACAAAGCTGAATTTTCAGCATCCATTACTCCAGTCTTCAGTGTGACACGATCCAGAAATCATTTTAATATGCTTATTTGTAAACATTTCTTATTATTATCAGTGTTGGAAACAGTTGCTGCTTACATTTTTTGTGGAAACCATGATAAATTTTTCAGGATTCTTTGATGAACTGAAAGTTCACATTTTTTTTTAAATATAGTTTTTTTGTTTGTTTTTTGTTTTTGTAGTCTTTACTGTCACTTTTTTTTAATCAATTTAGTGCACCATTGCTGAATAAAAGTGTTAATTAAAAAAATGATTGAACCCAAATTTTTAAACATAGTGTATATAAATAGTTGTTTGCATATGGGAAATCAACATGCTCTATATATACATAATCATATTATGTTAAAAGGGAATTCAGTTTTACCACTGACACAAACACAGCATATTACAAATTAGGATGTATACACATCTAATCCCCTAGTTCACAGAAAAGGCCTTGACAGGGAAGTATAGAGATGGAAAGTTGGAAAGTTCTTGCAACCCCTTGGGGTTTGGTGGAGGGGTCAGCTTCTCAGAGCATGTGACTCCCATTCACCCAGTTCACAGACAGGAAAGGGTTCTCACACTCGCTGAGCAATTGACACAAAGATATGATGATGTTCCTGATGTAATTGTCCTTATCTACAGCAAACAATTTAGCTGGACTGTAAATATTCCTGTCAGGTTTATTTGTAATCCTCTGTGCAGCTGCTGTGGTGGACCCCTAACCTGGCCAGACTAACCTGTCTCCCTAACCTGTTTAGTTAATGTATGTTTTGTGTACTCAAAGGGAGGGACAGAAAGTAATTAAATGTTCACCCCTCAAAGACAGGTGTACTGAAGTTAAAGGGATAGTTCTCCCAAAAATGAAAATGATGTTCACCCTCAAGTTGGGCTAAACGTGCTTTTCTTTTTTCTGTTGAACATAAAGGAAGGTATTTCTATGGCAGTAACCAAACAGTTGCTGGTCCCCATTAACCATTGGGAGAAAAAAAAAAACATACAAAAAAATAATAATAAAAAAAAATCAGCAACTGTGATTAAATCAACTGTCTGCTCAAGGGACAATTGTTTTTACTTTTCCAGTTATTTTGCACTATTTTGTAGTAAGTTCTGTTATGTTCTTTATGCATTGCATGCCCTAAACAATTTGGTTGTTTTATCTTAATTGGCCAATGTATATAGTTCATTTAATTCAATAAGTGATCTAATCTGGGGTAGCTATAATTACACAATGCTTTAGGCTTTAAGTTTAAATCACACACAGGTCTATCTAATGTTCCCTAATGCAAAGGTTTTCAAAATGGTGACCGGGGACTCCCAGTGGGCTGAATGCTAACTGGATGCAGCTTTTGATACTTTGCGGTAAAAGTGGCTCTCCGATTGACTTTGCCCTATCAGTGCGGCTCCCATGAAAAAAATAGTGAAGACCACTGCTATAGGGGGTCACTGGAAAAGTGTAAAAAAAAAAAATAACTGTAAAAAAACAAAAAAACAAACAAATAAATAATAGGCTAATAACACATAATATTTAAATAAATGAATGAATGAATGAATGTACTTTCTACACGAGTCTTTATATATAGCAACATTTTAAATTTTGGGTTGGGGGTCCCCCGAAGAGGATAATTATATTTGGGGGTCTGTGGTATTACCCGTCCCAAACCAATTCAGAATT